CTATATTTGAGCCGTTTATTTTGAAAGTGGTATAAGTCACTTTACCGTAATGAAAAGTGATGATTTTTTAATGTTTATACGAAATTATTTATACTGAGAAAAATATCAGTATCCTGAGATAACAAATACAAGTAAATCTTCTCGAAAGTTAGCATCCATATTTTTAAACGTGTTAAAACGCAAACCCTTAAATATATATCGACTTAAAAACAAAGTGACTTATGCCACTTTCAAAATAAACAGCTCATATTTATCTCTTTTTATCGCGACGTCTTTTCTTCGGTAACGCGCTCCGCTGATTCGCGGTTGCGTAAGAGAGCACCGTGCACAATTTATCAGTTGATCCGGCAACTTTGTCGCCAAAATTGTCGATTTCATCGAACCACGTCGCGATAACGACGTGCACCGTTCGATCGAAGTGCAATCTATTTCTGCGACGTCGGTGCATTGTCCCCCGTCTCTCAATTTCCCCCGCGATAAAAATAATCGTAGAATGCGCGAAACTCATCGCAGTTAATTGGCCAAATAGATCAATCATGATCTTCCGTCTTCGCGCCGCGTTAAGATAAATTTAGCTTTAGTGTTGATCTCATCGTGGACCGTCAATTATTTACGGGTTACTCTAATAAGAATGTTAAGCCGTCAAATTATCGCATTTCAATCATTCACGTTTAATTGTTAATTTAAGCGTTAATTCTATAATGGGTTAATTGTAATATAATATAGTATAAGTTATAATGGTTAATTTTATAATTTTATTATATATATATAATATTATTAATATAATTATTATTATATAATTATATATATATATATATAATATAATTAAATACTATAATTATAATTAATAATAATAATATATATATTATTATTATATATTATATATAATTATAATTAAATACATACATTATTTATATGTATTTATGGTATTTGTGGTTAAATCGCATTTCTGGTATTTCAAGTTAAATCGTATTTCTGCTATTTAGGGTTAAATTGTTTTTCATGGTGTTTACGGTCGAATCAAAGAATTCTAACGGATGGTTTCCGCGTTGCAGCATCCTGTCCCGCGGCGCGGAGTATTACACGTACATCGTGATCCACGAGAAATATCATTGGTGGAGCTTGCCATGGGACTCGGCGTGGACCTGGTGGATCACCGCGGTCGGCGTGGACTTTTGTTACTATTGGGTTCACCGGAGTAACCACGGTTAAAATCCTATCTCGCAAACGATCTGTGTGAAAGTAGACAGGCGCTTCCTAGGCGACGAATTGATTAGTGTTTCTCGCCCGTTTGCAGAGGTGCACTTCTTATGGAGTCACCATCAGGTGCATCACAGCAGCGAAGAGTTCACTCTCGCGGTTGGTCTGCGGCAGTCCGTTTTGCAACACTGGTGTAATTTCGTGAGTATATCGTCTCGTGTTACCGTCCGTTACATCTGTACACATACATTAGTATGTACATATGTGTATGTGTATGTATATGTACACATATGCGAGACATAATCGTATATCATGTACACGCGAGATTATGGCTGCGAGAGCCTCTGCGGCCACCGCAACTCCACATTTGCGGGCGCAATCCTACGCGATCCCCTTTACATCCAATATTGCTTCGAGAAAAATGCGATCTTTCAACCGGCTTTCGTGTCAATGTCACAGTTTGCGATCGCGCTTCTTACATTTTCAATTTATTTATTCAGCTTCTGTGACCACGGATTTTAATTGCAATCTTTTTTATGCAACAGTTTGATCGTTCTGTTAATTTTTAGCGATTACTTCCTCGGCTACCGGGACCTCGATTATGCAGCTCTTGAATTTTGTTTATCAAGAGTGCACTTTCAATCTCGAGAAGACACATCGAATCTTTCCAGCTCAATTATTTCTTCGGCTCGACTAATTAAACATTCACTTGTCCAGGAAACGGAAATGCTTTTTAGAGAGTGGCGGAAATAGAATGCTCGAACGTTCAATTAAAACCGCATTTGAATTCTTCTCGTTAGTATAATTGTCGGCGGGCTTTCGATAGAAAAGAAGAAGCTCGTTCGAAGCGATTACGATGGGTAGAAAATCGTCGTCCCGATCACAATCGAGAGGCCATTATAGATCTCTAATTGCACGGCTCGGTATCGCTGCTTACGAGAACTGTACGAGGGAGAGAGAGAAAGAGGGCGCGCGCCAGAGAGAGAGAGAGAGAGAGAGAGAGAGTGGGAGAGCGCGTGGGAGAGAGCGAGAGAGAGAGAGAGCGAGGGAGAACCCGCGAGAGAAAGAGAGCACGGGAGAAAGAGCGCGTGAGGGAGAGAGCGCGAGAGAAAGAGAGCACGGGAGAAAGAGCGCGCGAGAGAGAGAGAGAGAGAGCGAGGGAGAGAGCGCGAGGGAGAAAGAGCGTGCGATAGGGAGAGCGAGAGAGAAAGAGACGGGCAAAGAAATCATAACGAATAAGATTACGGTCTACAGAATCTAACGCGACCCGCACAATGGTTACAGATGTTCTACTTACCCCTCGCCTTTGTTTTGCCGCCGTCGCATTTCATCGTTCACAACCAATTCAACCTGATCTACCAATTATGGATTCACACGACGGTGATCGACGATCTCGGCCCGTTAGAATTCATATTCAACACCCCGAAACATCATCGTGTGCATCATGGTAAGCGATATCGCCGGTTTGCAATTAAATACCGCGAGAGCTATTAATGTAGCTTAAAGGTCGCGAGACGAACAAGTTAATCGAAAGAGTTCGCGACGCAACAGACACTTTTAATCAATTACGTCAATGTTGTCTAACCATTCGTTTCGCTCAACTTTGCAGGCTGTAATTTGTACTGCCTGGACAAGAATTACGGTGGCGTCCTCATCGTATGGGATAAGCTGTTCGGTACCTTCGCGGAGGAGAGGAAAAAGGAGGATATAATTTACGGGCTGGTTGTCAGTCCTGAATCGTTTAATCCCCTGTATTTACAGGTGAGCAGCAGCGACGGCGGCTGCGGTGGCTGCAGCGATTCCGGTTGCTTGCGGCGGTTGCATCCCGGCAACCGTTCTATCTTATATTAGCTTCGCGCATAATCGTCGCCCATATCGGACCGCCTCTCTATCTATCCGTCCGATCGAACACGCATAATCGTTCCGTTACATAAAGTTTGAATCGTTTATGCAAATCCCGCCGGGTTTCAATTGACATTAACAACCGAACGGCTCGGCTCGTGTTGTAATCAGGATTCGCGGCTCCAATTGCAATAATGGATAGCTATGGACATCAGGTGTCCATAGCTATCAGTCGCCTCGCTGCGTTAAAAAAATATGTAATTGCACGCTCGCTGTTATTCTTCTTCTTCTTTTTCGTCGTTCCTTTTTTTTCGTATTCTTTCACGCGGGACATTTTTTTGGAAAATCTCTGCGAGGCGATTCGATGCAATCGATTCCGGTCCACCCACGATTTATAGTTACGTCGGTTAACTGCAGTTAATTATTCGTAATGATTATCTGTAATTTTAATTTTTAATTTTTATGTTTACTTGTTATTTTGTATCCCGTTGTTCTTGGACTGAACGATTAGGTCAAATACCGAACGACGGGAATGCTAGAGACATAGAAACAATTAGATGTTATTTTAACGTACCCTTATGCAGATTTCTTGGATTGCGAACCTGCATGAATTATCTTCTTCATCTTCTCGCCCAAGCTCTCGTAACGGGCTCATGAACCTTCGTATATTTTTGCAGACATTTTACAGTATGCAATTGATACAGAGAAGCCTTCAAATGCGATCACTGACAGACAAATTGGCGGTCGTTTGGAAAGGGCCCAGTTGGTTCCCCGGCGGGCCTCGTTTGGGCCTCGACGAGCGTAAAATAAACGTGAGTGTATCGTCCTTCGACCATCTTCTACAATTAATCGAAAATAATAATTATAATTGATTATATATAATCGATTTCATATAATTGATCATATACATATAATAGATTTCATATAATTGATCATATACTTATAATAGATTTCATATAATTGATTATACATAATCGATTCTATACAGGGTGTTCCACAATTATTTTAACAGCCGAAAATGAGGGGTAGCTGAGGTCATTTGAAGTAACTTTTTCCTTTGCGAAATGCAATCTGCGGTTTTGTTTACGAGTTATTAACGGAAAACACTGACCAATGAGAGGTGACGGCGCGAAGTTCGAGAGCCCGCAGCACGAGGCTTTGACAGATGGTCGGGACGGACTCGAGCAGCGTTCGAAGTATTGAACAAATCACGAAGCGAGAACTTCCGGATTCTTTTTTACTACGTAACAGTGATATTTTCAAGAAAAACGCTGTTCACCTTTACTATAGAACGTCTGAAGAATATTTACTAATTTTTCGGACCCGAA